ATAGGGCAGTATGCCAGAACGCGGGACCGGAGCGCTAGCGCCAGCTGGGTATCATAAGATACATACCTGAAGAGTATGTCTACCGCTTTACAGCCCAGCGGAGTGAAAACCGGTAGGGGAGCGCCAGGAAGGGAGGAGGTGCAGATGTGGAACAATGAATGGCCTACCACAAGAGAACGGCTGCCCACATTTGAAAACTGAGTACAGATTTGAAATCAGTGTACTTGATAACCCTATAGTACACCCGCACAGTCCGATACATCCACAGAATACTGCTAGGCCAGCATGTCAACCCCAACCTGCCTGCCAGTTGGCCCATTGTTTGGCCTATATCTCTACAACAAGTGTTCAGATAAATTGAGTGATGGCAGGCACAGTGATGAGATCAATTGGTTTGCAGTGCCGGATGCAAATCTGATTGATTTGCTTCCAGCATTGCATGGAAAGTTCTCTAGAAACAGTCCTCTAAGCAGATCTGTCAGCTCTCTGGTTGATTAATTGCATAGAGTAGCTATACTGGTCTACTCACAATGATCATAGCTACCACTAAGAAGCATGTAGCTATATGGTATAGCTATCCTGTGGCCAGAATTGAGTGGCAGACTCTTGGGGGGAAATTTGATGGCTCCTGAGGCGAGATTCCCACGCTGTGTCGTGAGCTCGAGCTCACGACGCCTGCCTCTGAATTTTTCCCACACTCCAGTCTGAGCGGAAACTGACTTTTACCGCTCAGATCTGGAGCAATCAGTATGAAGTTTGATGTCACCAATGTCCAAATTTTGATTAGAACACAGTGGTGAGCATTAGAAAGTGATAGGATCAAGCTTAGAGCAGCCTAGGCCAATAGGAGATGAGTAGGGAGGGAACTAGGAGGAGAAGTGGACAGTACTAGAGAATGGTACACTAGCAAGCCAGGTAAAGCTCACCATCATATTCTCAGACATAGGGGACATTAGAATCCCATTCTATAGGTCAGCACTAGTACAGTGATAGCCAGGACTATAGTAAAATGCGAGAATATAGTATATACCAATCAATTTGCCCAGTACTCAGGTACCACAAGTCAGGGAACCCTGTAAAAATCGGAATCAAATAGTGCATACCTGAAAGTAGGTGTGTATCGAGTCTCATAGCAATCCATCCGTTGGAACTCATAGGCCAGCAATGCTACCTTTTCCCCCAGTGTCAGACCTCACCTTGCAGAGGCTATAGCAGTCCGAGTTCTGATCAGATTGCTATGATTTTCTCAGATTCAAAATGACATTCAAAAACGAATCAGGATGAGCCCTAGTTAGTCCCAGAACAGATAGAGATAGTACCAAGCTCTAGGCTCAGTCAGATGTGAGCTGGCACAGAAATTACCTTGTGTGACTATGGGTCTTAGAGATAACCTCAGGGAAGCTACACTATCATCATAGCAGTTAGAATCTAATCATATTGATAGAGAGGAAGCACTGTATTCATAGAGTATACGGTGGAAGACAGGAGAGACAGACATGGTGGGCAGAAGAAGGCGTGTGGGAAAGGCTTCCATTTTGGGTCGAAATCCGCGACATGCCTCAACCGTGGGAACTAACTTCCTAAAGTCGCCAAAAAGTCAGGTACAGCTCCCCAAGCACCTTCACATCTCAAAACTTGGTAAATCAACGAGTTAGGGATGACTCGTAATATGTGGACCGCTGGTACAAGATGGTCCACATTGCCCCAAAAACTAGAATGGTTAACAGCCTGGGATCCATGTCCCTGTTCATGTGCTATGTCTTTCCTCAGATCGGTCTTATGGAGCAGCTTATCTCTGATCGCGGTAGCCAGTTTGCCAGTGATACCACTTGAACGCTGCCCACTAAGCTTGGTGTCAAATTCTCGCTCACCACCTCGTATCACCCTCAGACAGATGGCCAAACGGAGCACTTCAACTAGGAACTGGAGCAATATTTGCACGCTTTCTGCAACTTCTGCCAAGACAATTGGGTGGACTGGCTCAGATTTCGAATGTGTGACGGGCACCCAAGAGGTACTGGCACCATTCCTCAAGAGCAAGCATGATGGCCAGGAGCTCTTTGTCGTAGATCTCATAGTTGTGTTCGGCTTTGCTAAGCGACTTTGAGAAATACGCGATCGGGTGCCATTTGCCATCAGCGGCCTTCTGCGAGAGCACTGCACCCATTGCAAAGTCAGAGGCATCGGCCTCGACTCTAAACGGGGAGTCGCCGACTGGGATGACGAGCACGGGTTCGGATGTAATGCGTAGCTTGAGTTCCTCAAATGCAAGCTGTTGTTCAACGCCCCATTCCCAAGGGACGTCTCCGGTAAGGCGATGGAGCGGGCGAGCGATGTGGCTGAAGTCCTTGATGAAGCGGCGGTAGAAGTTACAGAATCCTAAGAATGACTGCAGCTCTTTCTTGCGCATTGGAACAGCCCATTTGGCGACAGCTTTGACCTTGGCAGGATCCATGCGAACGTGTCCCTCCTCAACGATCATGCCAAGGTATTGGATCTTGGTCTGTTCGAACTCGCACTTCTCAGGCTTGAGATAAAGCTTGTTTTCCCGTAGTATGCGTAAGACCTCATGTGTCACGCGACAATGTTCCTCGAGTGTCTTGGTGAAGATGAGAATGTTGTCGAGATAGACAACAGCGACGCCTTCGTGGATGAGGTCGCGGAACAGCTCATTCATCATGGCTTGGAACGTGGCGGGCGAGTTGGTGAGGCCAAAGAACATGACAGTTGGTTCGAAGAGTCCCATATTGATGCGGAATGTGGCCTTCCACTTGTCACCCTCCTTAATGTGCACGTTGTTGTATCCCCAGCAAACGTCCAATTTGGTGAAGTAGCGGGCACCTTTGAGCTTATGGAGAAGCTCTTGGATGAGGGGTAGCGGGTAGCGGTTCTTCACGGTCATCTCGTTGAGTTTACAGTAGTCCTGTACTGGGCGCAGAGAACCATCCTTCTTTTTGATGAAGAAGAAGGGCAAGGCCATGGGTCATTTGGATGGGTGGATGCGACCAGACTTGAGGTTCTCCTCAATGAACTTGCGCAGTTCGTCTTGTTCTACGAGCGTGAGGGGGTAGACCTTGCAGTCTACCGGGCGTGCGCCTTGGATAAGCTCGATGACGTGACTCCACTCGGTCTGCAGCGGGAGTTTATCGAAGTCCTCCTTGTCAAAGAGGTCACGGAAATCGTGATAGAGTGAGGGTACGCGTTCTTGGAAGGTTTGTTCCTTCTTGAGCTTAGCCTCTTCCTGTGCGATAGCGGACGAGTGTGTCGAAGTGGCTCGTAAATGTTCAGCGCCTGCGCGCAGGAAACCTTCCCAATCGAGTGCAAGTAACCGCTCCCCCTCCTGAAGCTCTGGTAAGTCAATGACGTCCTCAGCTTCCTCCTCTTGATGCATGTGGTCCTGTAGCTTGGCACAGAGTTCCGGGCAACGATCAAACAACACAGTGGAGGTTTCCCAGTCGGTGCTAGGGTTGTGGAAGTGTAGCCATTCATGTCCGATGAACAGCGGCGAGGAGCCTAGCTTGGCCACGGCAAGAGCGATCTGCTCCCGATGATCTCCGATGGTCATGGCAATGTCAACAAACTCTGTGATACTGCCGTTGGCGTTGGCGCTGCCATCCGCATTGTAGACTGGAATAGGCAAGGCTGTTTTGCGTGTGCGAATGCTGTTTTGTTGAACAAAGTCCTCATCGATACAGGAGCCAGTACAGCCACTGTCGAGTAATGCGTTGACCGGGATCTGACGACGTGGGAATTCCATGGTGTGGAGAATAGCGGGCAAGGTAGTCTGCTGGCGTTGACCGGAGGAACGAATGTAATGCATGGGCGAACGCAGTTCGCAGAGTGCTTGCACAGTGGTGTCATCGTCCATACAGTTGAGTGTGGCTAGCATCTCATGCGTTGCCTCATGGTGAGGCCGGTTGTGCGTCCAGTTGCGCAGGATGGCGATTGCCGATTCTGGCTTATTCTCTTGCAGACGGCGAGCAGCCTATAGAGCGGAGCATGGTGCGGCGTAGCTATTGCCTCCCCTCCGAGTATGAGGAAGGTCTTGATCCGTTGACTCAGACACGGGTTAGGGTTCACACGGGACAAATTCAGCAACTTCATTTTCATTATCATTGGGCGCGGGGGTGAATAGAGCTACGGCCGGAATATCGTCCGGCTCTGGTACATGAGGGGCAGGGGTGACGCCCTGCGATCTGAGTAGCGGAGACGAAGTAGATGCGCGCGATATGAACGAGTTGAATAGTCCGTGGAAGCGAGCAGGGGGTCGAGGTGCCGTGTTCACGACGAGCCACTGGCAAAACCCTGCTGCGACGCTTGAGCTGGGGGAGCAGCCGGTGCTTCCCCTCCACTCTGCAGCACGCGTGCCAAGTCGGCCCGATCAGCCAGAGACAGCGAGGCGGTGAAGTCGTCGGGCCGTAGTTGTCAGTTTACTAACGTTAAGGCCTGTTAATCAGGGCACTGAATGTAAGATGTAACAAGCTAACAGCAAAGCTCTTATATTCTATCTGGCCCAGACAATTGGTGGCTTGCTGGTTAGCTCATTTTCCAGACTAATTATCAGTCCTGGTAAGCTTACCAGAAATGGATGTGACAGGGCCATCATGTGGGTCCCATCAATGCCATCAAAAGCCCTGCTGGCCTGCTGCCCCCACTTCAGGCTGCCCTCCCTAGCTCTCTAGAGCATTCCTCCCTATAGGAATTGCTGTAGTACATGCACTGTAGGTATGGGTACATTAGCTAGCACTCAAGTAAGCTATGGGATGCAGTATGGCACCCCCAGGGAATTAATTCAGAAAATGCGCGTATTTATTGGTACTGGGCTAGCCAGCCTACCAGTACAGGTATAGGCTGGCGCGGGTGTTGAATAAAGTCATATAT